AACTTTTGGTTATGGACCAATAGGAATTGTCATATAACAATTGGGGTCGTGGTCCCTTCGAGCCCAGTTGACTTAGATTGTGGGCTTCATTGGCTCGGTTGAGGCCTTTTAGTTGTTGTAATTGTAATTGGAGGTTTGTTTTAAAATGATATTGTGTTTTGAGTGTTTTATTAAAATTTTATGAATTATTATGTAATCGCTTTTACTTTCCGTGATTAAGGAATGGCTTGGATAACCGGGTTTTGGCATGAATAAGGAATTAATTAAATGCCTGATTGTATGTCTATATTTAAATATATGCTCGGTGGCTTGAAATCGATGAATGATGGATACTAGTTTTCTCAATAGTATGTTGTACGTATTTGAATGTAGTTTGAGAACAGTTTTGAAAGATTATGCATGGTCAAGTTCAAGTTAAGGAATGTTGGGATTGATCTCATTTTAAAAAGGGATTTTTGGTTATCTATTTAAGAATTGATCTTTGGAAAGTTGAGAAAGAATTTGGAAACTGGATTTGTGAAAGTGGATTAGTGAAAAAAGAGGAATTTTATGATAAGTTTCAGAAAATGGTTTTCAAAACCCACCACCGGAGTACCGCCCCCCCCCCCCCAAGTTGACTTCGGAACAGTCTAGCCATTTATGACAATGCCCACGAGTCTCGAGGACCCCTGAACCGTGTGGTGCTAGGATTTGCGTTCTCAGGTTGATTATATCTTCCTGAGTCCTGCGAGGGGATTTGACGGATATGCGTTTTGGGCTGATCACCCGATTTTGAAAGGATGCGCGTAATGGGGTTGGCTGCGTGTTCCCCGAATTCTGCGATGATATGCGTTCTTGGGCTGACCACATGTTCCCCGAGTTCTACGAGGACATGTGTTCTTTGGCTGCCTACGTGTCCCCAGACTTCTGCGAGGACATGAGTTCTCAGGCTGACCATGGTTCCTCCGAGTTCTGAAAGAATGTAACATATATGGTACTTGGAATTGACGGATTATGATTGGAGGTATGCCTAGGTGGATAGTATTTAAGTTTGGCGATGTTTTAAACCAAAATTGATGATTTTATCTTGGTACTAATTGGTGAAAGTTTTAATACATGTATAGAGATTTATGAGACAAGGATTGAAAGTTTTCTAAATTTTAAGGATTGTATACAATTCACAACTATTTTCTTGAGTGATGAGTTTGTTTTTACATGTGAAAGACGGAAGCTGTTTTATTTAAACCATTGTTATTGATATTAAGGTTTCATGTGGCCAATGTTATTGTAATAATGTTCTCATTTTCCTACTTATCTGGAATGAGCTATTATATATATGTATTTGCATATGCACATATGTGATAGGTTGAAAATTGTTCTAAAATCAATATATTTTGCTTAAGTTTCCCCGGATTGATTAGAGTTTGAAGCTTTTGGTTTTAGGAAAGTGCGATGGAATATTTAATCCATATGCTTACATATGGGTTGAACTTTATTTTCTTGTATAAAGAACTACGTGTGGCTTGATCACTCAGTAAGGGTACCTGGGCAACCTAGGCTAACCTAGGTGCAGTCACAAGATTTTGATTGTCTGTTATGTTCAGTTTTGTAAAGTTGATTGTGCTGAACGCTCGAGACTATTTGAGTTTGCTGTGCATGTGCATTTTTCAAGGGAGACTCTGCCGGTTTTCCGATAAAAGTCAAACCTTAAATCAGTTTTTGGATTAGGGCAAGAAGCGTATTTTGGTCATGCATGCCTGACACCCGCCAGGTGATGGGCAAAACTGGGTTTGACACGAATTCCAAAGTGGAATTTAGGTCGGGTCCTGTCATCGCATTTATTCATTCGTGGCTTCTTTCCATTTTGAGTTTTCTAGTGCTTCAGTCACACTATTGGGGACATATATATCTTCCAACTGCTCCACAAAGTCTACATGTGACTCTAATAATCTAGTTAGAGATATATAATTATTGATTGTGCATTTCCCTTTCGCTTTAAGATCTGCTTCGTAATGTAATCGAGGTTTACCACGATTCTTTCTTTCTGGAAGTTGGTATATAGGGGTATCTGCATCCTTTATGTTTTCTGAAATCAAATCATCATGGTATATTTCATTAGTGTTATTAGTTTCAGGGGGAGATGTTACCTAAACGACTTCTTCAGAAGGTGATTGGTGTGGTACTAAAGTTGAATGCGGATCCAAATTGGGCAAAATCTCAATTATTCAAGATAATTAATTAGTATTTATTAAGTAATTTTTATGAAAATTAATTATAATATTTAAATACTAATTCTTCACTAAATAAATAAATGTAATTAAAACACAATACATTCAAAGAGTATAGCCGCGTGGGAATACTCCTTAAATAGATTATTTTAACTGTATAGCCGCGCGGTTATACGCCATAAATATAATATTTTAACTGTACAGCCGTGCGTACTCCATAAATATAATATTTTAACAGTACATCCGTGCGGCTATACCCCAAAAATATAATATTTTAAACATATTGCCGTGCGGCTATACTCCAAAAATATAATATTTTAAAAGTATAACCGCCCGGCTATACTAAAAAATATAATATTTTAAGAGTATAGCCATGGCGCTATACCCCAAAATAACTCCCGACGAAATGGCATCGGCATATATCTATCCCGGCGAAATTTGCGGTAATAGACCTCTCTCAACGAAATTTCGTCGGGAGAGTTTTGTTTTGTTTTGTTTTTTAAATTTAAAAAATATAAAATTAGTTTCTTTACTTTTGTTTTTCTGGCCAACTTCTTTAATTTAATATATATAATTAAGTAATATTAGTCCTTTTGAATTACTTTAATTATGTCTTATCCCTTTTAATTTAAATTCTACTGTGAAAAACGAAAAAATAAATTACATATTTCCGTTTGTTTGTCTCTTTTAAATTTCTCTAGAGCCCAAAAGCTATTCACACTCTTGGTCCCTCTAAAAATTGTTTTCTAGCTTCACCCTCCTATTTTTTTATATAAAAAAATTATGAAAGATTTCATTAATTTGATAAACTTGGAGTATTATCCAATAACAATGAAGTAATTAAGTCATGGAGGATCTTCCTCTAACCAAAAGATTCTTGATCTAACAACAAGGCATGCCTAGCAAGGGAGTGAGCCACCTTATTGCATTCTATGGAGCTATATCGCCATCTCACCATAGAGAAAGAATGTGTGAGGCACTTAGCTTCTTTAAAAAGGTGACCTTCCACACATGCAAATCTTCCCCATCTTTCTCAAGAGCAGTAATAATATATTATGCATCCCCTTCCACTTCAATAGTCCCGACAAAATTTCGGCGGGAAAGATCTATCGATTGTTTTTTATATAAGACAGAGATATATCATGCGGTGTTACTGCCAAATTCACAAGGGAAGTTTTCAGTGATGAAAATTGGGATCAAACAGGTCAACAATGGTATAAGAGGGCTCTAAATCCTGTTGGCATTGATGAAAATTGTGTTGTGTGTTTATTTATCTTGGACAAAGGAGAGAACATGTAGCACAAAA